ACTTCCTGGGCTCAAGCAATTCTCCCACCTCAGGTTCCCAAGTAGCTGGGACCACAGGCACACACACTGCCACACTCAGCTAATTTTTTCCTTTTAATTTTTGTAGAGACAGGATACCGCCATGTTGCTCAGGCTACTCTCAAACTCCTCAGCTCAAGTGATCTTCCTGCCTCGGCCTCCCAAAGTGCTGGGATTATAGATGTGAGCCACTGCACCCAGCCCTATGCCCAAGCTTCTTGAATCAGCAACATTGTTGGCCATACCATGCAGTCCCAATGTTTAGTTTTACTCAATTCATTGGCAGTTAAAGAGGTGGCTTTATTAGTTTTAGAAGTATAACACCTAAAATCTGAAGATCCCCACAAAGCTGTATAAAGAATAGAGAGAATATCTTATGTTGTCTTACGTTGTTTAAGATTAAATATGTGCCTCTAATTAATGAAATTTGGGAAATTAGAATTTGACAGCTTTGTTTTTCATTTTGAAAATGAAAAACAAAATGAAAAATTAGTGTTTTTCATTTGAATAAACGTTTTGTTTCTACCTACTTATATTGAAAAGGTACTCCAATCAACAAACCACCTGTTTTGGGCTATAAAGATCTCAATCTTTTCAAACTCTTCAGACTGGTTTATCATCAGGGTGGATGTGACAATGTAAGTATAAAGTTGCTCTTTGAAATACATATGATGTAATAAAAAGTTAAATTATCCTATATGACATATACACATTAGATAATAAATACATTTTCTTAATGAACATAGAATATTAGGATAAAGATTATTTCCTGGCTGTGCATGGTGGCTCATGCCTGTAATAACAGCATTTTGGGAGGCTGAGGTGGGTGGATTGCTTGAGCTCAGGAGTTTGTGACCAGCCTGGGCAACATGGCTAAACCCCATCTCTACAAAAAATACAAAAACTAGCCAGGAGTGATGCCACATGCCTGTAGTCCCGACTACTTGGGAAGCTGAGGTGGGAGGATCACTTGAGCCCAGGAGGTGGAGGCTGCAGTGAGTCCTGATTACGCCACTGCACTCCAGCCTGGGCAACAGAGCGAGACCCTGTCTCAAAAAAAAGGAAAAAAAAAAAGATGATTTCCCTTTCCAAATGTTAACATAAAAACTTAATTTTCCAGATTGATAGTGGTGCTGTATGGAAGCAAATTTATATGGACCTTGGCATTCCTATTTTGAATTCAGCTGCTTCCTACAATGTAAAAACTGCTTATAGAAAGTAAGTAGTATAGTTTATTCATGACAGAATATGTATTTATAAAAAATAATTTTTAATTTACTTTTTTAACGAGAATACATCAATCCAGGAACATTAAAGTTAGAGAAAGTGTATAAAAAGATTTAGGTTAACAGATACTTGTGATTGAAAGTTACTTCAGTGCATCAAATCTGCTTTGCTCCATTTCTTATGTTCTCCTGATTACCTTTCCAAAATCAGGATGCAGGTAGTATCTGTGATTATGATACATGTTATAGAGCTATATCTTTTGAGGTGAACAGCCTTTGTATCAAAACTTATGGTAGTTATGTTCGGTTATCAGAAGCTCAGACTTCGCAGGATGGCATTTTATTTTATGATCACTTTCTCTGTTTATAATTCTGCCTAAAACACCAAGAAAATAGTAACACAGAAAATAGCAACACAAAATTATTTTTAAATTACTTGGGCTTTACCTTTTAAAAATGTTTTTAGTAACATATTCAAGTTAAATGCAAAGACTATAAGATTTATTAAATGAAATATTTTTTGTTTAGGTATCTCTATGGTTTTGAGGAGTACTGCCGTTCGGCAAATATTCAATTCAGAACTATTCATCACCATGAACCAAAAGTAAAAGAGGAAAAAAAAGACTTAGAAGAATCAATGGAAGAGGCTGTCAAATTAGATCAAGAAATGCCTTTAACAGAAGTGAAGAGTGAACCTGAGGAAAATATTGATTCAGACAGTGAAAGCGAAAGAGAAGAGATAGAATTAAAGTCTCCGAGGGTGAGTTCCTAATACTAATTTTATCTGGTTTAAGTATTATTTAAAATTTTTTATTATAGCCATTTTAGTATATACACAAAAGTAGGTTCACTACAGTGAACCTAGTTTATTTTCCAGTATTTGATGCTGCTTAACTAGGTACTTTTTTCTAAAGATATTGTACAGTTATTTCCTCTACCTGAAAACCCTTCCTTCTGTTTTCTGTTTATGTTTGATCAAGTAATTCTCATCTGGGATGAATTCCTTTTTTCAAGTCTTCTGCTAAAGTATTACCTCATTGGTCACCTTACCTGAAATTGTAACCTGTCTCCTCTCTTTGGAACTCTCAGTCCCTCTAATGTTGCTCCTACCTGTAATTTACTTATTTATTCTGTTTATTGTGATTGTCTATTTTGCCTCACTCTACACTAGAATCACACTCCACGAGGTCAGGGATTAGTATTTATTTCATTTATTGACAGATCCCAGGCATTTAGAATACTGCCTGGCACATAGTAAAGGCTTATTAAATAAATGCTGAATAAATAAATCTCCTCTTTAAAGTGCCTGTGCCCCAAATCAGATGGTATCTTGTCTTTCTCTGTAACTTTATAGCATATTATGTAGTTCTGGTGATGTGTGCATGTACTCTGGTTCTATCTTCCAACTCTGCTCCTTCTCTCCTTTGATATGTCAGGTCTATTTAGGAATTGTCACCTACCATTTGGATCAGTGTCCAGTGATGTTTACATAGTAAGACTTACCAAATTTTAGAAAGAGAAAGGAATGTACCACACTATCAAAGAAGTTTAATTAATATGTCTTATTTTTGGTGAAATCATATTTAATGAAAGAGAATGTGAAATTGCTTTCTGTTATAGTTCAGAAACCAGTTTTTAAAACCATTCATTCTTTCATGTAGTAAATGGAATCTTCTAGTGAATGACATGAAATTTCCAAATTGGTTTTTTCGTTTCTTTTTTTAATTGTGGTAAGTACATATAACAAAAAATTTGCCACCTGAACTCTTTTTAAGTGTACATTTCATTGGCATTAAGTACATTAACACCAGTGCATAACTGTCACCACCGTCCACTTCCAGAATATTTTTACCTTGCAAAACTGGAATTCTGTGTCCATCAAACAGTAACTCCTCATTCCTTCCCCAACCCCTAGCAACTACAATTTTACTTTCTGTATCTATGAATTTGATATTCTAGATACCTTTACATAAGTGAAATCATACAGTGTTTGTCCTTTTGTACTGGCTTATTCATTCAGCATGATGTCTACAAGACATTATGTTGTAGCATGTATCAGAATTTTCTTCCTTTTTAAAGGTGAATAGTATTTTATTGTATATATTGTGGACATACTTTCTTGTTATTACCTAAAAACCTTCCTCGTCCTACATAAAATATGTGCAGTGTGCTGTCTAGTATAGATGAACCATAAATTTACCTTCTCCAAGATTTTTCTCCAATTTTTTACTATTTTAAAAAGTGCCATAATACATTTGCTTGTAAAAATATCTTCAGCATATATATAAACTACATATATAAATCAGGCTTCTAGGTCGGGCGCGGTAGCTTACACCTGTAATCCCAGCACTTTGGGAGGCTGAAGTAGGCGAATCACAAGGTCAGGAGTTCGAGACCAGCCTGGCCAACATGGTGAAACCCCGTCTCCACTAAAAATACAAAAAATTAGCTGGGCATGGTGGCAGGCGCCTGTAATCCCAGCTGTTCGGGAGGCTGAGGCATGAGAATTGCTTGAACCCAGGAGGCGGAGGTTGCAGTGAGCCAAGATCATGCCACTGCACTCCAGCCCTGGTGACAGTGGGAGACTGCCTCTCAAAAAAAAAAGAAAAACAAATAAGCAAGCCTTCTAAAAATGGCATTTCTTAACCTGTAGGCCCAGCTACTCAGGAGGCTGAGGCAGGAGAATCACTTGAACCCAGGAGGCAGAGAGCCAAGATCATACCACTGCACTCCAGCCTGGGTGATAGAGGAAGACTCTGTCTCAAAAAATATGAATAAATAAGTAAAAATGGTATTTCTGGGACAAAGGTATACAGACCCAAATTTCACAGCAGTTGTTTTCATTCATTTACCTACAGATATTTTAAAAGCACCTGCTAGGCTGGGTGCAGTGTCTAACCCCAGGACTTTCGGCAGCCGAGGCAGGCAGATCATGAGGTCAAGAGATTGAGACCATCCTGCCCAACTTGGTGAAATCCCATCCCTACTAAAAACACAAAACTTAGCTGGGTGTGGTGGCTTGCGCCTGTAGTCCCAGCTATTTGGGAGGCTGAGGCAGGAGAATTGCTTGAACCTTGGAGGCGGAGGTTGCAGTGAGCGGAGATCACACCACTGCACTCCAGCCTGGTGACAGAGCGAGACTCTGTCACAAAAAATAATAATAATAATAAAAGCACCTGCTATGTAACAGCAGTATGGATCTAAGGAGATGGAAGTGGTGTCATAGAACTTGCATAGTAGTGCTTGGTGACAAAGAAATTTCTTTTCCTGCCTTTGAAGTGTGAATAGCACATAGCTAGCAATTAATTGTATCCTAATGCTCCCTAAATTGCTGGCTTTTTTTTTTTTTTTTTCGTTCTTCCAAGAAGAGGAGAATTCTGCCAGTGTGTAGAAGTTGCCTTGAAGAAGAATCTAGGAGATAGTGAAATTGCTCACCAGTTATGGTCATTTCAGCATTCAGTGGGCTAGATAGAAGCCAGTGGGGGTAAAACATGTTGCTGTTGGCCCAGGAAACTCTCCAGATAGTCTTTCAAAGAAGCCTGTTCACTTTTTTGCCATTGATGCAATTCAGTCCTTTTAAAATGTAATCCACAAATAGAATGATAATGTAAATTTTGTCTTACTAAACAGTAGAATTAGAGACCACAGAGCTTTTTAAAAAGCAAAATTCAGGGAATTGGTTTTATTATTGTTATGTTGTATCATTAACATTAGATAATATTTAAATTTTTATTATAGTTGAGAAATAATAAAAGTGAGATAAAATGATATAAACAGAGGAGGAAATTTCTACTTCCTTTTTGTTATTTTTGTTTTCTTTTTGCATTCAAACAGATTCTTACAGATATCTTAAGTAGTATGTAGCCAAAGTAGACCTGGAGATAATGAGTAGTTTATATTGGTTATTCTTTTACTTTCAAAAGGAAGAGAAATGTACAAGTGAGTTGACTGGTTTTCAGTGCCATGTTTCAAGCCAGAGTCATTGCTGTGAAGGTTAAAGGAAAAGATTTTTTTCCTGCTTTTTTCGCCTTTATTAGTGATAGCTATGTTAAAGCTTTTACCCCCTCTACCAGGGACGAAGGAGAATTACTCGAGATGTAAATTCTATTAAAAAGGAAATTGAAGAAGAGAAAACAGAAGACAAATTAAAAGATAATGATACAGAAAATAAGGATGTAGATGATGACTATGAAACTGCAGAGAAAAAAGAAAATGAGCTACTACTGGGGAGAAAAAATACACCAAAGCAAAAAGAGAAGAAAATTAAAAAACAGGAGGATTCTGACAAAGACTCAGATGAAGAGGAAGAGAAAAGCCAAGAGAGGTACATTATCTTATGTTTGTTCTCCAGAAGCACCTGTCTGGGGTACAACAGCGCTTTGTTCCTGCTTAGAGATTCAGGTTTGAGGGAATGTTTTCTTATTGGGACTTCCATTCCTCTTGTCTAGTGAAGGTGAGACACATTGTGAAGATGATGTGTATCGCCTTTCGGAATTGGAGAATATACTGGTCGCACCATTTTAATAGCACTTGTGCCCTAAACAGTGGCCTCAAAGAAGGCTGCGCCACCCAGTCAAAAGAAAGGTCCTGCAGTTGACAGCAGGGAAGGGAGCTGGAGAAAAATGGAGGAAGTGGACAAGAGGAAACAGCGACAGCAAAAATTCCATTTTAAAAAAGGTACAATGTGGGAAAGCTAACAAACACATGGGTGCACAGTACTAGCAGATGTTTCTGTGTGTTAGCTTTAAGACATTTTTCTTTTTCAAGTTATTGTATTAGAGTAAGTGGCATGCACCCCGATCCTAGTTTGGAAAATGCATTCTTGCCCCACATCACACCAGTAAATTTCAGATTTTTTAATGTCCATCCTGTTTGCTGTTGAGTGAAAACTATATTTTTCTATGTATTAGACAAGTATGGACTGAACTGACTTAAAATAGTCAAAGATTAATCAGTCCAGTGAGATCAAGGTAGTCTCTGACCAAGGTATTAGTTGTTTTCTGTAAGTGTTGTCAAATGGATTTACTAATTTTAGGACACTACTAAAAATGAATTTTAACTGAGCAGCAGCATAACACACTCACCTGTAATATCAGCTCTCTTCCATAGTTATTTTTTTATTATTATGTGATGTTAAATTTTCTAGAAATTTGAGTTGTTAAGCCAAATTTGGAAAAACTGACCTGCCATTGAGGGAATAAATATTTGGAAAAATAGGATGATTGGTGAATGGGAGAGTTAATTTGATTCAATACAAATAGGTATAGGAGTTATCATAGTTATATGTGAACTAGGTTAGTGAGTAAAGAAGGTTCTGTAATGAAATATAATTAGGATTAGGAAAAGTAGGAGGAAATAATTGGAGTTGAGTATAATGATATGAGTTTATAATTTTGAATATTTGAACAAAAAAATTTAAGCAAAGGTGAACCACTTAAAAAGTGGGGCCTAATTATAGTTTGAAGTTTTGTGAAAAGCATCAGAATACAAAAATTGTAATATGTATATAACACATATAAAACTAAATGTGGTTTAAAAAGACTATAACTGTTATGTAAATAGACATTTATTTTAGAGAAAATTTAACAGACTTGAATATGAAGAACAATATTTAAGTAGTTTATCTCATAGTGTTTTGAATTTACTTCATCAGTCTCTATTATTGGAAGGTGTCTTCCGAGAGAAAACATTACCACTGCAAATGGGCTCTGAAAACTTCATGTCAGGACCCCCAGGGTCACCAAAATAATGTCCTATATTTATTATAGAGCACAATACTACTTCTTGAGCTTGTAATGCTTGTGACTCTAGAATGATCTTTGATGCAGTTCTCTTATGAGTCTTTGCAGCATTGATACACAATGTTTTATTATAAAAAATATTAAAAGTATTTTTGGACCCCCCTGTGTTAATGTTCCTTATACCTGATTATCAATACAAAGAAAAGCTGATGGGAGACAGTAAATAAATAGAATTCAAAACAAATGTAAAGCTTTGTTCTCCTGGTGCTATCCTGCAGTGTCAACAAGTGTCCTAATACTCAAATTTCTTTTCTTTGTTAGGGCGGGGAAACCTTTAAAATATAAATTAGTTTAAAAGACTTGGTTACTAAGATAGCCCTTGTTCATTATTTTGCCCACCAAAAAAACTAGTCTTGCCAAAAACTGTTCTAAATATGGTAGTAAAGCAGATTTAAGATAATTCAGTTGCAGGAACTTACAAAATATTCTTAAATCTTTTTTTACACATAAGGTGGCACTTAAATATGAACTCTAAAGAATTTTTTCAGAGCATATTTTTCCTATTTTGTTTTGTCAAAAGTGATTTATTCGATTACAGATTATCATTAGCTGTGACTTGATTGGCATTTAAAAAGTATGGATTTACTTTGGGTCCAGAGCACTTTTACATAATAAATTCTTTATTAAATAGGCCACAGAAATCTTCTCCTTCTCCTCCTTCTTCTCCTCCTCCACTGACATGTTATTAAGGTAACACTTAGGTTGTGAATAATCTACCTGTTGGATTCTTTTAGCATATTTTATTCTCCATTAAGTTATTAGTAGCGTTATCAATATTGTAACTTACTGCAGGGAAGAAACTGAAAGCAAATGTGACTCTGAAGGAGAGGAAGATGAGGAAGACATGGAACCCTGCCTAACAGGAACCAAAGTGAAAGTAAAATATGGACGAGGGAAGACTCAGAAAATTTATGAAGCCAGTATTAAAAGCACTGAAATTGATGATGGAGAAGTTTTATATTTGGTACATTACTATGGATGGAATGTCAGGTAAGCAAGAAAGTATTTTCTTACTGTTGAAATTTTGTCAATGGTTAAATAGAAGATCAACTTAATGTTGTGAACAGTGAAAGCAAATAATGGTATATATTTACAAAGCACACCTTGATTATGAATTTTCCAAGACTTTGACATTCCTGCTGTTATACTAGCAATGTCAGTGCTTCTAGCCAGAAACTACCAGTATCGCACCTGTAGTTAGAACAAGTTACATTTTCTATTCATTTGTAGTGAGGGAGAACACACAGCAAGGGAAACTGTAGGGCATCTCAGTAATACGGTGTTAAATGAATCAATGAAAGCTCAATGCACCCTCTTTGGGAAAACAATAATTCATAATTCTGTGGAAACATATTTCTGAATATGAGCAGGGAGCCAGGCCTGCAGCTTCCAAGTATTTGTTTTATTAATCAGAAGTCAAGCATTGTAGTAATTCTTAGTCGATTAATTAATAAAAAACAAATGTTAGAACTTAGATTTGATCTTCCATTAGATGATTTGGGGGAGGGTTTGAGAAAGACAGGCAGGGCATGGCGGCTCATGCCTGTAATCCCAACATTTGGGAAGTGGAGACTGAACGATTGTCTGAGGCCAGGAGTTCGAGACCAGCCCTGGCAACATAGTTAGAACCCTGTCACTACAAAAAATAAAAATTAGCCAGGCATGGTGGCACATACTTGTAGTCCTAGCTACCCAGAAGGCTGAGGTGGGAGGATCACTTGAGCCTACAAGTTGGAGGCTGCAATGAGCTATGATCATGCCACTATACTCCAGCCTGGACAATAAAGTGAAATTCTGCCTCTTGAAAAAACAGAGAGAGAGAGATTTTGCTCTATATTGGATCCTGTCAGGAAGCTGGGGTAATTCTAATTGGTTTTCTTAATAAATCTTTTCTAGAAGGAGAGACGGTTAGACCAAGGTGATGTTATAATTGGTAAAGAAACAGCAATCACTCATATAAGTCAAGAAAAAAAAGATGTTTGGTTATTTTTGTGGCTTAGAGAATGTTCCTGTTTTTTTCTGTGTTCAGATACAATTAGGAAGTGGTCTTGTTTTTTGTTTTGATCCATCATGGTCTTAGAATGGACTTGTCTGATGTAGATGCTCTTTGAAATTGTTCATGTCCAACAGCAGGACAGTGTTGCTGTCCTAGCTATGAGTGCCAGACCAGCTCTAAGCAACAACAAGTCTCAGCTGATACTGCCAGGCAAATTCCTTTTTTTTTTTTTTTTTTTTAAAGACCGGGTTTCACCATGTTGGTCAGGCTGGTCTCAAACTCCTGACCTCGTGATCCACCCACCTCGGCCTCCCAAAGGGCTGGGATTACAGGCGTGAGCCACCGCGCCTGGCTAAGCAAATTCATAAATGTCAGGGGCTACCTTTCTTTTTCTTGTTTATGAAATCTGGCATGTTTAATATCTCTGGTTGGCCTGTATTTACCTGGAGCCAGACTGCTCCTGGGTTTCTCCACACACTAGATGTGTGCTCTGTTATGACTCAAGTTCCTCATCTCTAAACTGGGAAAAATACAGTACCTATTTTGTAGAGATATTGTATAATGTAGTAGCTCCCTCTCATCTGCGGGAGGTATGTTCCAAGACCCCCAGTGGATGCCTGAAACTTCAGACAGTACTGAATCCTATATGTCCTATGATTTCTATCCTATACATACATATGACCAATAAAGTTTAATTTATGAATTAAGCACAGTAAGAGATTAACAACAACAATAATAAAATAGAGCAATTAGAACAATATATTTTAATAGTTATATGAATGTGCTCTTTCTCTCTCAAAATATCTTAATATTTTTGGACCATGGGTAATTGAAACTATGCTATGGCTAAGCAGGGACTACTAGAGTGATAATATTTGTATTAACATGTAAATGGTTAGAACCATGCCTGGCGCTTATTAAATGCCCCATGAATGTTAACTGTTTTCTTCTTTTCTTTTTTGAGACAGAGTTTCACTCTTAGTGCCCAGGCTGGAGCACAGTGGTGTGATCTCTGCTCACGGCAACTTCCACCTCCCAGGTTCAAGTGATTCTGCTGTCTCAGCCTCCGAAGTAGCTGGAATTACGGGCATGTGCCATCATGCCTAGCTAATTTTTGTATTTTTAATAGAGACAGAGTTTCACCATGTTGGCCAGCCTGGTCGCAAACTCCTGACCTCAGGTGAACCACCCACCTCTGCCTCCCAAAGTGCTAGGATTACAGGTGTGAGCCAGTGCGCACAGCCAACTGTTTTCTTTACAATGTATTGTTGAATTCAGGGAAAAAGGACTATACTTAACAACTTACAGTCATTATTTCCAATTGCATCACATGATAGCCTTCTTTTTTCCTCAGATTCTTATTTAGTTCACAACTATCTACTCCTGTTTCAGGTCAGTCTGTGTCTCTGTTCTGTTTCCTAGAATTTTCTCCTATTATCTTTCTTTCTCATCTTTTTAACATTTTACTTGGACTCTTCTCAGCAGTCATTTTATTATATGCTCAGGTTATGGGCTGGTCATCTCCCTAATTAGTTACCTAACTGGTACTCTTCTGGTTCATGGTTTTTCATTGTCCTTCTCTACTCCTAAAAACTGGTATAACTCTGGCCTGCTCATTGAGATGGAGCCACCATGGTTCCTAGAGAATTTAGTCAGATTTCTGAAATGGGAGTATCTGCAAGTGTGAGAAGTGTGAAAAGAGTCTTGGTCTCTATTGAGAAATCCTAGGACTATCCTTAGTTAACAATATTAGTGCTAGAAGTACCTACATGACATACTGCTTTGTCCAGCGTGGCCTGGACAAAGTACACTATAAATCAGGCCTATGCTTCCTGGTCGTCGGATACTTCCTATGAAATTGTGGAATTGGATAGTGTTATTCCTTTGTTAGTCCTGCATCGGATACATAACTCTCTTATTGCACTTACCAGACTCTACTTGATGTTACTCTATGTCTGTCTTTTATAATAGACTATGGGTTACATGAGAACATGGGCCATGTTTATTCTCTACATACTTCCTGATACATTGTATACTAGTAGGTCCTCAGAAATGTTCAAATGAATAAACATTTCCGTATAAGTTAATAAAGTACAGATATTTAAAAGCTTAGTACTGTGCTCATAGCCAGTCCCATTTAAGAAACTAGATACTGGGTTAATGAGTAAGAGATAGTTTTCAAATCATAGTATAGGCAGTTCCTAACTTACAGTGGTTCAACAATTTTTTTAAAAATTAAGATGATTCAAAAGCTATATGCATTCAGTAGAAGCCATACTTAGAATTTTGAATTTTGATTTTTTTTTTCCTGGGCTAGCAATACACGGTATGATACTCTCTCATCAGACTATGCAGTGGCAGCAAGCACAGCAAACAGCCAAGAAATCATGAGAGTAATCAACCAATACTGTACTCTACAGTGTATTGAATAAATTACATGAGATATTTAAGACTATTATAGAATAGGCTTTGTATTAGATGATTTTCTTCAACTCTAGGCTAATATAAGTGTTCTGAGCATGTTTAAGGTAGGCGAAGTTAAGCTGTGATGTTCGGTAGGCTAGATATATTAAATGCATTTTCGACTTAGGGTATTTTCAGTTTTTAATGACTTTATCAGGACGTAATGGCATCATAAGTAAAGAAGCATCTGTATAGGTAGTCATGGTACCATGTCAGTTGAAATACATGCATACAGGAACCATGTCCTTACTTTGTACATCTCCACAGTAACTGGTTTACAAAGCAAGAACGTGGTTTCCAGATACATGAGGTTCTTTTTTTGTTTTTCTTTTTTTTTTTTGAGACAGAATGTCGCCAGGCTGGAGTGCAGTGGTGCAATCTGGGCTCACTGCAATCTCTGCCTCCCGGGTTGAAGCGATTCACCTGCCTCATCCTCCCAAGTAGCTGGGACTGCAGGCACGTGCCAACATGCCCAGCTAACTTTTGTATTTTTTAGTAGAAATGGGGTTTTACCATGTTGGCCAGGATGGTCTTGATCTCTTGACCTTGTGATTTGCCCGCCTCGGCCTCCCAAAGTGCCGGGATCACAGGCATGAGCCACTGTGCCCGGCTCAGATACTTGAGTTTCTATTAACACGCTACAGTCTAAAGCCAGTTTGTCCAAACAGGCTGTATGCAGCCCAGGATGGCTTTGAATGCGGCCCAACACAAATTCATACAGTTGCTTAAAACATGAGATATTTTTTTTTTGCATGCTTTTTTTTTAACCTCATCAGCTATCATTAGTGTATTTGAGTGACCCAAGATAATTCTTCTTCCAATGTGACCCAGAGAAGCCAAAAGATTAGACGCTCCTGGTCTAAAGCAAGGAATGCCTGTTGTTTCTTTACTTAAATGTACATATTTTTAGATTTTGACTCAATTTTGTAAATACTTGTATATTTATATAATGTAAGAACTATTATTTACTTTTAGAAACCCCTTATTAGTAACTTGAACTATAGACATTCGAAGTGTTATTAATCTTTTGAGAAGGCCAGGTGCAATGGCTCATACCTATAATCCTAGCACTTTAGGAGGCTGAGGTACGCAGATCACTTGAGCTCGGAATTTGAGACCAGCCTGAGCAACATGGCGAAACCTTTGTCTCTATAAAAAGTACAAAAATTAGCTTGGTGCAATGGCGTACACCCATGGTCTCAGCTACTCAGGAGGCTGAGGTGGGAGGATCAACTGAGCCCAGGAGATCATGCCACTGCACTCCATCATGGGCAACAGAGTGAGACCCTGTCTCAAAAAAATGGCCGGGTATGGTGGTTAATGCTTGTAATCCCAACACTTTGGGAGGTCAAGGAGGGTGGATTACCTGAGGTCAGGAGTTCAAGACCAGCCTGGCTAACATGGCAAAACCCTGTCTCTACTAAAAATACAAAAATTTGCTGGATGTGGTGGCAGGCATCTATAATCCCAGCTACTTGGGAGGCTGAGGCATGAAAACCAATTGAACCCGGAAAGCAGAGGTTGCAGTGAGCCGAGATGGCACCACTGCATGCCAGCCTGAGTGACAACAGTGAAACTCTATCACAAAAAAAAATAAATAAATAAATTAAAAATAAATATTTTAAGAAAAGGTTTAGGGGAAATGAGTCTTGAACTTGAGCTAAACAAAATAAACTTAGATAAAAGAGGTGAAAACAAGTATCTCTAAAAAAGTTCAGAGTCCTAAAGGCAATGTAGTTCAGAAGAAAATTTTATTGGAAATACTAAAGATTAGAGAGAGTTTTGGGGAAGAAAAGAAAGTTGAAATGGACTTGATAGAATAACCTGAAACCGATCACCTTGCAAATTTGAATTTGTCTGACTTAGCTTTGCTATTATTCATTCAGTAGGATGAATTCTAGTGTAGAATCTGATTATAAGCTCAGATCTGTAAAAGCTGTGGAAAACAAAGCAATTCAGATTGTCATGAACTTAGAGTTTGCTTTCTAAGACCTCCCACTAAACCTGTTAACTCTTATGAAATTCTCTTGCGTTTCCCTGTCACTGGATATACAGAACACCTAGCACAGTTACTAGCACATGTTACCAACAGACCAGCCTGTGTGCCCTTCATATTCCTGCCAACACTAGGAACAAACTATTTAGTCTGTTTCACTGTTGTTTTTGTTTGGTGAATACATTTCAAATAGGTTATGATTTCTGAAGTTTGTACTTTTTTTTTTTTTTTTTTTAGGTATGATGAGTGGGTGAAGGCTGACAGAATAATCTGGCCTTTGGACAAAGGTGGACCAAAGAAAAAACAGAAGAAAAAAGCTAAAGTATGTTTGTTGAATTATGTCCTTTGTAATATGTATAGGAATTACTCAAATTGTATTGTGTGTTTTTTAAGACTATAAGAACAGTTTTAGGTTCATAGCAAGATTGAGAACAGGGTATATAGACGTCCCATATACTCTCTGCCTGATGCATGCATAGTCTTCCCAGATTGTCAGCATCTCCCACCAGATTGGAATATTTGTTACAACTGATGTGCCTACTTTGACACATTATTGTCACCCAGAGTCCATGGTTTACATTAGGGTTCACTGTTGGTGTTGTATATTGTATGGGTTTTGACAAATATATAATGACTTGGATCCACCATTATAGTATCATATATCATATAGAGTAGCTTTACTGCCCTAAAAATCCTCTGTTTTGCTTATTCTTACCCCTACCCCAACCCCTGACAACTACCGATCTTTTTACTGTCTCCATAGTTTTTGCCGTTTCCAGAATATCATATAATTGGAATCATACACCATATAGCCTTTTCAGATTGGCTTCTTTTGCTTAGTAATCTGCATATATGATATTGTGTTTGTTTAATAAATCTTCTTATTGTAATAATTATCTTAATTCTTTAAAGATAATTGTGATTTTCTCTTTATAACCCAGGAGCTTAAAAGTAACACATTACCACATTGTTTCAGCCAAGGTGAAAACCAGCAACCCCTAGGGGATGGCTTTCAAACTTAAATTTCTGTAGAGGCTTTATAGGAAAAGTGTAAAGTAGGGCTAATTGTGACAAAGGAGAGGACACATTCCTCATTTAGATGGAATGAACCTAACCATCTGCTGTGGCAATGCAGACCCAGGGTGGCCAGATTTCAGGATTTTTCAAGACTACTATATTTCTTAAAATGTGAAATTTGACTTTTAAATGCTAGAAGCCAGTACTAAAATTTTAAAACACATGTCTACTGGCCAGTTGTACCCTCAATTGTCAAGCTTTGCTGTAGAGATTTGCCCATTGTTTTGTCTACTGGGTAGTAGATATCTTTCCTTTCTGCAGGGGATGGTAGGGAACACTGGGGACTACTGAATAGCTGTATAGCCTTCTAATGCTCTGACTCTGACCACCACAATATAATAATTGCAGTGTTACAAATTGTATAGTATCATATTATATAAATACAAAATATGTTAGAAAACTGTTTCTTTAAGCTAGTCAAATCCAGCAGTGGAGGATTGTCTACCAACTTCATTGACAATAATTTTAATAAGTTCTGATGACCTATCAGAAGAGCCAGAAAACTCTTCTTGATTCTTCTGTAAGCACAGACTAGGAATTGACATATAAAATAATCAAACCTTTTTTTGAGATGTAGTTTTCTTTGGAGAAGTAGAATGTTCATTTTTCATAAAGCGTTGGCCCTTCTCATACATTTTTTTGTTATTGCCCAGAATAAAGAAGATAGTGAAAAGGACGAAAAGAGGGATGAGGAGAGGCAGAAGTCAAAACGGGGACGACCTCCTTTAAAATCAACCCTTTCATCAAACATGCCATATGGCTTATCTAAGACAGCAAACAGTGAAGGAAAATCAGGTACCAGAAGTGCTCGCAGCAATATGCCAGACAGCTCACCTCTGTCAAATGGAATGGAAGGTGCTCGATTTTGAGGATCGCTGACTTTAAAAAAATCAATAATATAAATAATAAAACATCCATTGTGTGAAATATTCATGGTACAGCTTGAGTATCCCTTGCCCAAAATGCTTGGGACTAGAAGTGTTTTGTATTTTTGATTTTTTTTTTTAATATTTGCATATATATAATGAGATATCCTGGAGATAGGACCCAAGTCTAAACATGAAAATTAGTGTTTCATATACACCTTATACAATATTTTTAATAGTTTTGTTCATGAAACAAAGTTTGTATACTTTGAAACATCAAAAAGCAAAAGTATGACTGTCTCAGCCACCCGTGTGCACAGTCTATAATTGTTCAGCATCACTGTTATTCTTGACTCTGAATTTACATGCCACATACTGATAAGCAATTTTCTTTGACTTATTTATACATAATTACATAACAGTAAAACATATGGCTTACAATTAATACAGTGGAAAAATAATGTATGTGGGGAAACTAAGCAGCACAATAGCATCACCAAAATACCTGTATCTGCTGCTAAACAACAGTGACAACAAACAACAGCAGGCTTTCAGTCTCCACCTAAGATGCTGTGTTTTCATCAAAATGTTGCCTGTACACTAGCTTAGGGGCGCTGAAGAAACTGTTGTGCACCTGTGTTTGGATGCAACCTGTCCCATGAGGTCAGATGTGGAATTTGCTACTTGTGGCGTCTTATTGGTGCCCAAAAAGTTTTGGACTTCGGAGCATTTTAGATTTCAGGTTTTTAGACTAGGGATGTTCAACCTGTAAATCGCCCAGGTTTTTAATCTAATGTGATTTAAACTCTAAAATTTGATTTAAAGAAAATATTTTGCTCTATCATTTTTATTTAAAATTTAGTGATGTTTTCATTGAGGAATACTTTTTCTCGTAAATATCTTAGAAATAATCTATTTCAATAGAAGGTGAATTGACAATCCATGCGTCCTAGTGTGTGCTATACTTTCCTTCAAACCTGTATCAGTGTCTCCTATAAATTCAGTGCTGTTCACCTGGGATCTTTCAGCAAAGCTGAGACCATGTTGTTCTAAGAGAACATAGACAACTGTGGTACAGGCATGTTTTATAATACGTATGGGTGAACATATTTATTCTGCTTGTACTCATTTCTTCCACTTTTCTACCTCTGTATACTTTTAAATATAATTAAGAAATTTTAGGCTGAGCACAGTGGCTCATGCCTGTAATATCAGCAATTTGGGAGCCTGAGGCAGAAGGATCACTTGAGCCCAGGAGTTCAAGACCAGCCAGGGCAACACAGACCCCATTTTCACCAAAAAATTGAAAAATTAGCCAGGCATGGTGGTGCACACCTGTAGTCCCAGCCACTTAGGAGGCTGACGTGGAAGGACTGCTTGAGTCTGGAGGTCAAGGCTGCAACAAGTGTGATCATGTCACTGCACTCCAGCCTGAGTAGCGGAGCAAGACCCCGTCTCACTCTGTTGCCCAGGCTAGAATGTAGTGATGAAATCTCGGCTCAGTGCAACCTCCGCTCCTGGATTTAAGCAATTCTCCCACCTCAGCCTCCCAAGTAGCTGGAACCACAGGTGCAAGCCACCATGCCTGGCTAATTTTTGTATTTTTAGTAGCAACAGGATTTTACCATGTTGGCTAACTGGTCTCAAACTCTTGACTTCAAGTAATCTACCCACCTCAGCCTCCTGAAGTGCTGGAATTACAGGCACGAGCCACTGCACTTGGTCCCCTAAAAAGAAATTTTAAATGGTTGTCTTACATAAAAATTTCTCTCCTTTCAAGAAAAAAGCTATTCTGAACTACATGTGTGCTACTAGTCCATATGGTGCTTGTGTGCATATTATAAAAGGATATCCTTCCTCTTTACTGCCATCTGCTGGAAGGTTGTCATAATACACAAATGTAAGATGTCTACAAAGTGAAAGGTAACCCTTAGAAGGCATACCTGTGTGCAGTGTACAGTCTACAAAACTGCATACCAGCCTTATTAAACTACCACATAAAGGGATTTATTAAAACATGAGGGAAATGAATTCTACATTCTCTTTATAATAAAACCACAAAATAAAACTGTATACACCTTTTCACTTAAAAAAATTCATGTTTGTAGTTTTGAACTTCTTGAGGATATGTGCACCATGCGGATGTGCACCAATATAAAATTTTTATATTTTTTAGATCCTATACAGTCTTAGAACCCTACTTTATTATTTTACAAGTTCCCTTACTTACAGGTAATAACTTCTGTTGCTCTACTTTCTTGTCTGTTAAGAATATTTAAAGTTGTCCAGGTGTGGTGGCTAATGCGTGTAATCTCAGCACTTTGGGAGGCCGAGGTGGGCAGATCACGAGGTCAAGAGATCGAGACCATCCTGGCCAACATAGTGAAACCCTGTCTGTTACTAAAAATACAAAAACAATCTGGGCATGGTGGCACACGCCTGTAATCCCAGCCACTCAGGAGGGAGGCTGAGGCAGGAGAATGGCTTGAGCCCAGGAGGCAGAGGTTGCAGTGAGCCGAGATTGTGCCACTGCACTCCAGCCCAGGTGACAGTGCAAGACTCCGTCTCAAAAAAAAAAAAGTATTTAAAGTTTTGGGGATTCCAGTTGCCCGTTTTAAAAACTTTTCTTGCTGGGCACAGTGCCTCATGCCTATAATCCCAGCACTTTGGGAGGCTGAGGTGGGCGGATCACTTGAGGTCAAGAGTTTGAGACCCGACTGGCCGGCATGGCAAAACCCCATCTCTACTGAAAATACAAAAATTAGCAGGGCGTGGTGGCCCGCGCCTGTAATTCCAGCTCCTCAGGAGGCTGAGGCAGGAGAATCGCTTGAATCCAGAAGGTGGAGTTTGCAGTGACCTGAGATCACACCACTGCACTCCAGCCTGGATGACAGAGTCAGACTTGTCTCAAAAAAAAAAAAAAAAAAACACTCTTCTTTCCACAATTATTTTAAGTAGAATGTCATATTCCTTTCGTAGGATACAAAATGCCCATCAAATGTCCCTCTTACCTGCTATCTCAAACCACTTAACAAATTAACTTCATGTCTAGGTACTAATCCTTGATTTTTTTTTTAAGGACTATTGTACCTATTATATTTTTTATATAGATTTGAGTTACTAATATGCAATGTAATAAGTTTTTACTTAGAGCTTAATTTAGTTCCCCTCCCCCTCAAATTCTTCGTACAAATGTTATAATTTATTTTGTATCAGAAATTTCTACAGGGAGGTATTCAGAGGTATATGATTAAAGATTCTTGTTATAAAATTACACTGGTAATATAAAAACCTGTATAATATAATAATATTTCCTCTTACAGACTCTTGTTCATCTGATAGTGACACAGAAGATGCTTTAGAAAAGAATTTAATAAATGAAGAACTTTCTTTTAAAGATGAACTCGAAAAAAATGAAAATTTCAGTGATGATAAACTAGATGATGAAAATCCAAAGATTTCTGCACATATTTTAAAAGAAAATGATAGGACTCAAATGCAGTGTTTAGAAACCCTGAAGTTAGAAGTTGGAGAGAATGAACAAATAGTACAGATTTTTGGAAACAAAATGGAACAAGCAGAAGAAGTTAAGAAAGAGGCTGAAAAATCTCCAAAAGGAAAGGGAAGACGAAGCAAGACAAAAGATGTTTCTTTAGAAATTATAAAGATTACATCATTTGGCCAGAATGAAGCAGGAAATGAACCTCATATAGAAGCTCATAGTCTTGAATTTTCTTCATTAGACAGTAAAAACTTTTCTTCTGCTACAGAAGATGAAATTGACCAATGTGTGAAGGAAAGGAAGTTGAAACGGAAAATAGTAGGACAATCATCACCAGAGAAAAAAATAAGAATGGAGAATGGAATGGAAATGACAAATAGTGTATCTCAAGAAAGGACCAGTGATTGTATTGGATCTGAGGGAATAAAAAACTTAAATTTTGAACAGCACTTTGAAAGAGAAAATGAGGGAATGCCATCATTGATAGCAGAGTCAAACCAATGCATCCAACAATTGACTAGTGAAAGATTTGATAGTGCAGCTGAAGAAACTGTAAATATTCCACTAAAAGAAGACGAGGATGCAATGCCTCTGATCGGGCCTGAAACCTTGGTTTGCCATGAAGTAGATTTGGATGATTTGGATGAAAAGGATAAGACCAGCATTGAGGATGTAGCAGTTGAAAGCTCTGAGACTAACTCTCTTGTTTCTATTCCACCTGCCCTACCTCCTGTAGTCCAACATAACTTTTCAGTAGCTTCACCACTTACTCTTAGTCAAGATGAGTCTCGAAGCGTAAAAAGTGAGAGTGACGTAACGATTGAAGTTGATAGTATTGCTGAAGAATCTCAAGAAGGTCTCTGTGAGAGGGAATCAGCAAATGGCTTTGAAACCAGCGTTGCCTCTGGTACCTGTAGTATAATTGTACAAGAGAGAGAGAGCAGAGAGAAGGGTAAGAACTTTCTAGGGAAAAGTTACTGTTTATGTTAAAACCAAAAATAACTGTTGAGTTTTAGGTACTGTTGATCTGTAAAGTACTTTCTCTTTTCTCTCTTCTTTTCTTATAAAAAAGAAAGAAATGTCAGTATAGTCTGTTGAACAAATATACTTGCTCTTTTTTTTTTTTTTTTTTTTTTTTTTTTTATAAAAAAAAAAAATTTTTTTTTTTTTTTTTTTTAAATAATTTTTTTTTTTTTTTTTTTTTTTTTTTTTTTCATGTTCTCTCTTTCCCTTTATTTCAGGTCAGAAAAGGCCAAGTGATGGAACTAGTGGATTAATGGCAAAAAAACAAAAGCGTACCCCAAAGCGAACAAGTGCTGCAGCCAAAAATGAAAAGAATGGAACAGGTTGGTGTTTTTTAGTGCTAACTTTTAGTATTTTTAGCAGTTTGTTGGCTTATTTTAAACATAAAGGGAGCAATACTATATTGTTTTATAAGTTTGCTTTTTCATTTAATAGTATTATACTAGATATTTTGCCATTTTTATGATGAACTCATTTTATGGCTCATTCTTTTTAACAACTTTAGGAAGGTATTCAGTAGTTTATCATTTTTAACCATTTCTCTGTTGGTGAGCATTTAGCGTTTTTTGTTTTTTTTGTTTTTTTTTTTTCTGTTATAAACTTTGTGAATTTGTGCAGTATTTCTGTAGGATACCAAGAAATGTAATTGCTAGGTCTGTTGCATTTTGATATTTAAGATTTTTATCATTTATAATCTGAGTCAATATTTTTTATTATTATAGGACAAAGCAGTGATAGTGAAGATCTTCCTGTCCTAGACAATTCAAGTAAATGTACCCCAGTAAAGCATCTTAATGTATCTAAGCCACAGAAACTTGCACGATCTCCTGCAAGAATATCCCCGCACATCAAAGATGGAGAGAAAGATAAACACAGAGAAAAACATCCGAATTCATCCCCTAGGACGTATAAGTGGAGCTTTCAACTCAGTAAGAAGCTTATAGAAAACTTGATAGATATATGCTCTAAAGTGGAATATATCTTAAAATGCCAACTTGGATTAATGTTAATAAAATAAGGAATAATGATTAATTTATTTAGGTATTCCAAATACTGCCTTAGCAATAATCACTATGTGTTATCTTAAGTTCAAATCTGTGTCTTTTCTTAAAACTAATTTGATAAATAATGATTTACAGGAAGGTCTACATTAAGTAAGACATGTATGATTTATATAAATCAGTGAAACTGAAGTGCCCTTTGTAGCACTAACAATTAGAAATAACCAGTGGTTATTTCTACTGTGATAACTAGTAGCAGTAAAGAAAATGTCAATACAGGGAAACTATTCTGATAACTAATTATAGATAGGTCAGGGTTGCTTGGTGCTGATGTTTTTTTATGTTTTTCTAATCGTTTAAATTATAAATATTTAGTATAGAAAATTTGGGATCTAAAAATAATTCTTAATCATGAATTTAATTCATATCTTCCCTGTTTATAGTCTTACTTAGCTTACTTTCGTAGATTTTAATAAACTAAAGCTTTTTTTAATTTATGAGTTAGAACTTTGTTAGCACTGCCATCTTTTTTCTCACAGAATTATATTAAAATCCAAATTAACTTTTCCCCCCTTTTAGATGAATTAGATAATATGAACAGTACAGAGAGAATCTCATTTCTCCAAGAAAAACTACAAGAAATCAGAAAATATTATATGTCTTTGAAGTCTGAAGTTGCAACCATAGACAGGAGGAGAAAAAGGTTAAAAAAGAAAGACAGGGAAGGTAATTTTATTATAATTTTTCTCCACATATATTTCAAAACTATATCTTATCATTTTAGAAGATGTAAATTTGATACTCTTTGAATATAGTACGCATTCATTAATTGCTGTTTTTAAATTCCTAGTGTTTTCTCTTGTTGAGTAGGTCAGCAACTGAGTTAATCAGGATGACATCCTTGAAAGGGAGTACGAACTGTTTTTCAAAATGTGTGATTGTACTAAATGTGGGAGATTCTCAAGTAGAGCTTACTTCTTCTGAAATTCACTCTTTGCTCAACATACATTTATTGGCACCTGTTAACAGGTGCTATATTTGTTATGGGGTCAACCAAAATGAATTAGACATAAGGCTTATCCTCAAGGAGATTATCTTTTTGGGATTATAAATCATTTCCTAAGCAACTAAACTATAAGATAATGTAGCTCAGCAATTTTAATGAGTATGTGCCATGTGCCAGGCACTTTGCCAGGTGGTAGAAGTACAGAAATGTATTAGAT